GTATTTGTAGGCTGGAATATTGGTTCATTTACAATTCAAAAAAGCTAGCATACTTTGTTAGTGATGCTATCAAACTAACATCTTAATTGGTAAACGATTCAGACAGAACCACTTACAGGAATTAATCTCATTTACTTCCTGCAAAGGAGGCTGAAGTGGAAACCTCACATTGTAACCACCCTTATTATGTTGCATCCAGTGGAATGGAAGTTTTTCCTACATTTGTATCTTAATTTAAATACACAAGCAAGGCTCTAATGAGTTCTGGTCTTCTGGTGAACAAATTTCCACTCACAACTCACTGCATTTAGAATTCAGACAACTATTGTAAGCAAAATGAAAATACAGGCGAGACCATCCTGCTCCCTGAAGGGTGTGTCATTTCCTAACGTGGGGAAATACTTAGGCATTTAACACCAATATTTTCTCCTCCAGGGTCTACAAAACATAAGAGCCACCAAGGGTCAGCTGGTGGTGCTTGAGTGCCGTGTTCACTCCACACCCACCCTGCAGGTTCACTGGTACCGGGAATACGACCGGATCCTGGACTCGGCCGATTTCCGCATCCTGAGGAAAAGTAGGTGCTGCTGCTTGGTGCACGGATATTCTGCTGGGTCAGGGACAGGAATGAGAACTGCTATAAAGCCCAGGAGATGGTTCATAGGAGCAGAGCTGAGTTTCCAGTATCAGATGACCCCGAGTCACAGGCTGCTGCACAGCCTGCACTTCCTCTGGCACTGCACGAGTGGGTCAGGCACAACAGGGCAGATTCCAGGCTGTTAGTTATTAATGACAGCCCTGCTGGGCCATGGGGGCATTGCTGCCATGTACTAGAACTGCTGATGAACTAGGGGGAAAAAAGCATAACCTCATTTCAAACAATTTCTTATACTCCCAGGCATGAGGTCAGAGCTCCAGAGGGCCAAACCCACAGCAAACAACTCCAGATTCAGTGGAGCTCTTTGTGCATCACCTCGGTGGAGAGGTGTTTGTACCACCAGGGCCCCCAGCCACACCTGAGCTTTCCCTATCCACGTGCTCTTCCTTGTGATGGACAGAAAGGAGATGGTTCCCTTGTAACCAGGGTGACAGCTCAGGTGGGGAAGGGAGTGAGGGATGAAGGGTTTGGGGTTTTTCCATTCTGACATTATAATAATTTAAATTTTCTCTCTCTTATCTTGAGCAGGGGCTTGTTCATCAGCAGTTCCTGGTAAGTACACTGCATTTTTTGTTAAACTCCTCACTACACTCAGTATTTCCCACCTCATCCAAAATAAAACAACAATGTCCAAAGGTAGCCAGAAGACAGCAGTCAGGCCAAGAGCTTTCAAGTTCTTAATTTTGCTGCAAGCACTCAAAAAGCCCTGATTTTTTTCCACAACACTTGGAAAAAATATCAATCCCTTTACATTCAGCCAATGAAGAGTACCCTGTTCTAAGAGAAAGCATATCAACCATTCTGACCTACAACTTTTTAAACTTTCACAAGAAATGACAGAATTTAGGACCCCAAAACCAAAACAAAGACACAAAAAACGAAAAACAACTAAACAAACGAAACATCCACCACAAAAAAATGTGCTTTGTTTCATTAATGTCACAGGAAGAGTCTCCTTTAATCTTGGTCCTTCTAAACCCCTTCACTTCCCATGCCCTCTACATCACTTTTTTTTGCACTTTATTAGTGCCAATCCCCACCATTAAGTAAAGAGTCCTGTAAAGAGCAGTTCCTACAAGTTAACATTTGCCTCTTGTGGTACATCATGCCTGAATCTCTTATTTCAGAGGAAGTCTGCACCCTGGTTATTACAGAAGCTTTCCCAGAAGACTCTGGAATATTTAAATGTGTTGCTGAAAATGAATTTGGGTCTGCAGCATCCAGTGCACATCTCTCTGTTTCCCCAGGTAATCACATGGATTTCTGTGTTGAGCAACTAAACACAAAAGAATTTGCTGCTGTTCAACATCAGGCAGAATCACAGATATTTCCCAAGCAGAAGCCAGACCCAAACTATTTTGTAGGCTAAAGAGAAGGGAAATGCCCAAAAAATGCAGCCTGCTTGGGTACCTCTCAAAGCTGGATGCATGTTGTTCTGTGTTTGTGCTTTTGGTCCCTCTTCTTCCTGTGTCAAGGATGACAAGGTAGAGATGCTGTTCCCTCTCTCAGAGGAGTCTCATCCCTGAGCTTCATCCCTCCAGGGATTCCAGCTTGGCCCAACATTGGCCATGTCTATACCTTGTTTATGGTTCCACCTGACCTGTTTGGCTCGTGCTGGAAGCCATCTGCCACCAGAGCAGCACCTGGCAGGTACCCAGAGCTCAGCAGCCCTGCCAGAAGCCAGGTTTGGCTCGTGCTGCTGTGCAGGTTTCAGTCTGTGCACAGCAGAATGAGCCTCATCCTCCTGCTCAGACATTCCTGTCTCCCATCCCCATTACTACAGCACTGCACTGGTGAGCCACTGCTCCCAGCCTGATGTGGGGACAATTCTACTTCCAGGAGCTAAAGAGCTGGAGAGCTTTGGAGGTGCTGCCCCCAGGCCAGCTGTGCAGGTCACCATGAGGAAAGCCACCCTCCCCAGGAGCAGCCAAGCAGGAGCCAAGGAGCGTGGGGCAGCTGCTCTGCCATCCTACAGCCCCGAGAGCCCCGGGCTGGACACTCGAGCTGCAGCCCCAGGCTTTGGCCAGAAGAGCTCCAAGAGCCAAGCTGAAGATTTCCATGGAGCTTATGAGAATTCACCTGGGGCTTCGCCTCTGCGGTAAGACAGAGAAAATCACACCCCAGAGAAAAATCACACCCCAGAGAAAAATCACACCCCTGGGGCAGCTCTTTACAGCACTCAGGGCATGAACGGCCCAGTGATGCCAGCTGCACACTCCAGTGCCCCTCAGCCTGACAGGGACCAGGCACAGCCTGAGCTGTTTGCCTGGGTGACAATGACAATGTGCAGCACCAGCCTGGCAGGTCACATTTGACCAAGGGTGTGACCACCTAAAGCACCAGGGAAGGGCCTGAAATCGTTTGCAGGAGTCCGTCTGTGTCTAACCTAAAAGCATCACTCCAAAAAATTGTCTTCTAGGAGACATTTGGCTCCACAACAGAGCATAAGGCAAAGATCACAGTACCTAGGAAAGCTCAAGGTACAATTCTGTTGCCACCACCTTCCTTGGTGGCTTTGGCCAAGTGGCATCACCACATGTTTCTGTTTCCTGCTCTTAAAGACAGCAATAAAACTTGAGATCCTGTAAGTGTGGTGCAGACGGGACCTGCAAACCACTCTGTGGAGGAAAAGCACTGAACCAGTGACCCACTGCATAGAAGGAAAACTGTCCCATGCAGGGACACTCCCCCCTCAGGAGATGGAGATCCTCCCCCAGTTACAAAGTACTCAATTTTATGACAAGGCTTGATCCAATTTCCATACCAAACGTAGCTCTCAAGTCACTGCACACTTATTGCATTATCAGTTCTCCTGTTTGATTGCTGCAGAGGAACAAATCAGGTTAGAAGGCATAGATTGGTGACATCACCCCCATTTCTGGAGGGCTTCTCAGGGGTTTGTGGACACAAGGATGACCTCGAATGCTGACAGCTCAGCCACCCAAGCCCAGCAGAGGATTCCCTCCGTGCTGTTAGGGACAGGGAGAGCTACGTGTGCCTGCTCTCCCAGCTGAGTGCCAGCCTGCAGCTGCAGGGATCCTGTTACAGACTCTGGAAAGGCTGTCCCTGACAGGGACCATTCCCTGGCTTACAGATTATTTTTGGATGTACTCAGCCATTTTAACTAAACCAGTTATTTTAACAATTCTGAACAGCCTCCTTCAAATTTTACCACAGGAGAGATCATATTTCAGTATAGATGTCTCCATGCAGGAGAGTTACTTTTTTGCTAAATCACTGAGTAAAAATGGTTTTGCTTCAATAACCAGCATGCAGATCATTAAAGCTCTCAGCTTGGCTTCAAGCCCTTCTATGAAATCCAGGCTTGCTCCAGAGAAATCAACTGGGACCCTAAGCAGACCCTAATGCATAAAGGGATTTATCTTGTTACCAAAATCAGCTATGTAATAGCTTTTTTAAATATAGGTTACATATGTGTGTATGTATATATTTACATATGTAAACAAAAAACATTTACTAGTCCAGACTTTGGACACATCTTAAAATACAGAGAGAAACTATTCAAATTTCTAGATATACCCATCTATGAGAATTTAAATACCTTTAAATCCCGCAGACATACAGCCAGGTGCTTTGAAGCATCATTATGAATGTGACTCAGGCTTGTAAATGTTGCTGTTACCTCAAACTTAGCAATCATGGCTAATGGCTGGCTGGAAAATAACTGTCTTGTTACTCAGATTTAGCATATAACTCCCTCATGTAGTGTATGTGGTTCAACTGTATTACCAAAGGCAGATACCAACAAAGGCAGTGATGACAGAACAAAGCCATTACTGGGAATAGCTATAAAATGAATGAAATCTTTGTGCCCATATTCTCCCAATTACTGCCTAGCAACAGGCACTCCACAAAAGCCAGAAAATGCAATTCAAGACTGTCACTACCAGCTACTCCTTTCTGAGCCCTTTACACCTGCAGCTTGCAGTGTCCTCAGCAGCCTTGAAGCAGAATAAAATCGTTGCTGATTACTAACTTCATTAAAGAAACTCAATCCAAGCAAACAAAGAGGCTTCAGGCACTAATATACTGTTAGGTATTTAAGTATTCAGCTTTTAAGTACCTTAATTAATAAGCAACAGATCCTTAACTCTTCTTCTAGACATTTTTTGCTATATGACTCAAGCAGTGAGGAGAAAGAACCCAATCAGAAGCAGCAGGGCACCATTCTTAGAGAGTAAACTGAAGCAGGACAGAAAAGCTGATTTCTGACACCTCGCAGTGCTGGTCACAGTGCTATTAAGTTACTTGGCACAGGAGATGAGATTTATTCCTCTGCCTTCATCAGTTCAGCTTCCAGTTCTCTCACCTTTTTTCCTACCTTCTGGATGTCACGTTTTCCTGTTCCTTCTCTTTCACACAAGCTGTCCCGATTGTGTCCACTCTTTTAAGTGTGTAAAACTGTCCTTAAATTGATGCCTCGCAGCCAACTTCAGTGCTAACTTGAGGTTGCTGAGAAGCCAGGGAGCCTTTCTGAGCACGGAGCCTGCCCTTTACTGTGCTCACAGCTTCCTGCAGGGCAGTGATCATGACCCAGGTACCTTCTTACAAGTACTCGCCTCTCTCTATGCAAACCACCTATTTTTAATTATTTTTCGGTGTTTTTTTCTTTTTTTTTTCTTTCCTTTTTTTTTTTTTTTTTTTTTTTTTTACGTAAGAAGCAAATAACCTCGCAGAAAGATAGGGACGAATTCCCCCCCTTAATCACTTTCACGCGAGGAATTTATATAAATTAGCACTCAATTAACACCTGCTCTGTAGTTTTAGTTCGCAAAGGATGTTTAAACACAAACTCTGGAGGTGGATTAACCTCGCGAAGATCTCTGTGCTGACAGACTCCCGGGCACAGAGGAGATGGGAGCACTGAGAGCCCACATCAGCCCAGCTGCGGGACTCTGGGGCTTGGGCTGTTTTTAAACAATAGGCGATAATTAAGGTATTTAAAACACTATAATGTTAATTTAAGGTGTAACCAGGCATTGAAGCCAGCCTAACCTGCCAGCAGGATCTGCTGCTGTTCTGGTGAGAACACCACAGCTGCATTTTTTCATCCATGTGAAAAGCTGTAATAACAAACACGAGCAGCAAAATTTTAACATTTCCCGTATTTTGATCCTATTCTTTCCACAAGGCTCGTTTCGTTACTCGGTTTATGAGTGCTCAGACACATCCCTGAGCAGTGCCCCTGCTCCTGACCGAGCTCCCTGCAGGAGCGGGGTGTGGGGGTCCCCCCGGGGCTGGGAGGTGACCTGGGCTCGCTCGGCTCTGAGGCTGGGGGGGTTAAACCACGTTTAAACCTGGCTCTCGAGTGTGTATTGAGTGTGCACAGCCTTAAAATCGGTACCAGCGCTTTATCACTACAGAGGCAATTAGCTACAAACAACTAGCAAATGAGTTAAACAAGGAATTTAGACCCACAGAATGGTTTGGGCTGGAAAGGACATTAGAGATGGCATTTTTTCTGCCATAGGCAGGAACACCTTTCACTAGACCAGGCTGTTCAGGGCCCCATCCAACCTGGCCTCGAAACAGCAGGGATGGGTCAGTCACAGCTCCTCTGGGCAAGAATTTCCTTCGGATAACAAAGTGGGATTTCGGGACGTCCGAGCATATTGCAGCGGTCCTTGCTGCTGCTCCCTCACTATGGTGCTATGGACAGAACACCTGCTTTTCTGCTGAAAATCTGAAAAGCTGCCGACTTCTGCGGGTCTGCCCCTTCTGCTGAGCCAGGGACGCTCCCGGCAGCGCTGAGCCGCTCGGGGCCGGGACAGAGCCGGGATAGAGCGGAGACAGAGCCGGGACAGAGCCGGGACAGAGCAGGGGCAGAGAGGGAACAGAGCCGGGACAGAGCGGGAACAGAGCAGGGACAGAGCCGGGGCAGAGGCGGGACAGAGCGGGAACAGAGCCGGGACAGAGCGGGAACAGAGCCGGGACAGAGAGGGAACAGAGCAGGGGCAGAGCAGGGACAGAGCAGGGGCAGAGCGGGAACAGAGCGGGGACAGAGCCGGGACAGAGCAGGGACAGAGCAGGGGCAGAGAGGGGACAGAGCCGGGGCAGAGCCGGGGCAGAGCCGGTCCGAATCAGCAGCCGCATCCGCAGCGGTGCCAGCGCTGCCCGCCGGGATGCGCTGCCCGCGGGCACCTGCCCAAGTCCCGGCCCTCTCACAGCGCCCGGCTGCCGAGGCTGTTCCGAGACTCTTATTGTGACAGCGGCGGGGCCGGGGACAGGCCGGTGCCGCGGTGTCACCGCTGGCAGCACATTAAAGCCCCGGGGCTCGCACCGCCGCGCAGAGGGCGGCTATGACAGGGAATGACCGTCCTTCCCAAAATACCGGCCACGGCCCAGGTGACAGCTCCTAGGCTGTAGGTAAGGCGCTTGTTGGGGTTTTTCCGCGTCACTTTTCACTGGGAGGCTGGTTAGGGAGGTGGCGAGAGGCGCTGCTGGGAGTGCCGAGGTGGAGCCGCACCTGGAGGGTGCGGGAGTGTCAAAGCAGAGCCAAAAACACGGGATTGTTTTCCAACAGGAAAACTGTCCCTGTTATTACGTACTGTTTTCATCTTGCAAGGTCAAATGTCTCTTCGGATTTATTTTTTTTTCCCCTCCCAAATCAAGGTGGAATGGTTCGAGGAAAACATGGCTTATCCCTTGCTGTGAGAAGTGGCGCTGCGGACCAGAGCTTGGTTAAGGGCAGTGTTCTAGAAAACAGAGTAAACGCTGGTTGCTGTCCACAGCCTGTGGTACAGTGAATGTACAAATCCGTGCACAGGTAGTGATATAAAAACGGGATAAAGACAAGACTGAGCAAGTTTTCTGCACTGGTGAATGAGGACATAGTGTGGACATGCTCCAAAAGTTTGAGCCAGCTTCAAATTCCAAGAGTATGACAAGGGAAAAGTTAGGGAATTTTTACTATAAGGCCTCTGTTTACTTATAGCTAATTCACAACTAATATTGACTATTACCTTTAGGAAATTAAAGCTTTGAGTCCTTAATATCAGAACAACGTCTCCACTTATCTCCCCCCATGGGAATTTATGACCTCGTGGAGCCCTTCTCTGGGCTCTCCAACGGGAGGAATACAATATACAGGGTATATATAGCAGTCAAACAGCTGATCTCAGTGGGGCAAGATTACAATTTTTTCCAGCACATGTAACTGTAGGGATTTATATTCCTCTTTTTCTTCTTCTTCTTCTTCTTTTTTGTTAGTGGCTTTATGTTTATTTTGGGGGACTACTTTTTTATCCTGGAGCTGAAGTAATTTGTCCATTTTAAAAAGCTTGCTAAATGAAATTCTCCCAGGTTTTGAGCTGATGGAAAGCCCAGGTTTTTAGATATCAAACACCTACCAAAAAAAAAAAAACAAAATCTGAGCAGCTCAGCTTGCCCTACCTTATCTTGCAGCTCATGTCATTCTGGCAATTAGCAGCCTTAACAGAAAATCTCGGGAAATCACCTCAAACAGAGACACACAGTCCTTGGCATTCTAATCCCAAATCTCAGTTGGATATTACAAGCTCTGAATTCAAAACCCATCAGAGAAGAAATCAGGAGATTTGGTTTCAAAAGTTTCGTTTTAGACTTGAAAGTGAAACTTCTGTGCTTCCCTATGTTGCAAGGAATTTCTTGGCACAGGTAGCTGGTTCTGGGGAATAGTACATTTAGCATTTTGACAGGGCACAAAACAGCAGGATCCAGGGATCTTTAGTTAAGATGATACATGGGAAATTACCTGGCTTAGCAGTAGTATCTGTGTTTATCTGTACATTTAGGCAGGTGGTTAACCAATTCCTATTTCCTTCAGAATTTACTGGGCTCTGGCATATAAGGCAAGCCCGGTGATCATTGCACCTGAGCCAGACAGACTGTGTGGCTTGTTACTGTGACCCAAAATGCTCATACAGTTGTGGGGCAGTTCTAACACATCCTAAATAATTTTATATTAATTTCAAGCTTTACTTTAGTTTAACTTTAGCTTCATAGTGTTTGGATTGCTAATGACTGCTCAGAACACAGTATTTTAGTGATTCAGCTTATGATGTACAATTTATTTTATCTGTGTTGTCTTCCTTAAGGGAAAATCCACTCCAAGAAAGCCTCTATTCTGCAAGGCAAGGGTTCCATTCTATCCAGGAGCCCAGCCAGGAAAACTTTTGTGGCCTGTCACCTAGTTTTTACCAGCCACCTATCCAAAGCCAATTATCACCAACAAAAACCCAGGACAGCCGCGAAACCTCTCCTATGAGTGTCCCTAATCTCCCATCCGTTTCCTCTATGTGCCAACCAACCATGTTTAACTACGAGCGTCCAAAACACTTTATCCAGTCTAAGAACGTGTGTCAAGGGCAACAGCAGCCTCCAGGACCTGCAGCCTCTACAGAGTCAAGCAGAGAAATCAAACAGTCCTCCATCCTCATCCAGCCTCGTAACCCCAGCGGGCAGAAATTCTCCTCCTCGTCATCGCTGAGCTCTTCAATCACGCTCTCCTCGCCTTCCTGTAGTGCCCCTAAGGAATCTGCCTATCCCATCACACCTGCATCTGCACAGTCTCCTGCTAGCTCATCATCCGGGCAGAGGCTTCTGCCCATGCCTAACCAATCCCCCGCAGCCTTCCTGTGCTCCGTGCTCCCCTCGCAGCCCGACTATAACAGCCCAGCTCCTTCTCCCGTGGAACCTCAGTAAGTACACACAGCCCTCTAACCTGCCCTGCTTGCCCTGGCCTGTCCCAGCACTGACACCCCAAACCAAGGCCCTGGTGCAGCTGTGCCAGCCCCAGTGGCTGCAGGTGTGCCAGCACAGCTCGGGTGAGGAGGCTGAGTGCTTGCCCTTGGTGTGCCAGCAGAGCCCTGCACGGCTCGGGTGAGGAGGCTGAGTGCTTGCCCTCGCCGGGGAGTTAAACTGCACTGTGGGCATGTCACAGGCTGCTGGGTGAGTGTGCTGGAGCTGCTTTGAATTGTTTAGGTTGATTTGACAGAAATTTCTTAAGGTTATTTAGAACAGAAGACAGGCACCTATCTCGGTTTCTTTCCAAAACATGTCTTATGAACAGGGAGACAGGGAGAAGGCAGTAGTATTCCCAACACAACTTAGAGAGTCCTAGTAAGTCTCAGCAATATTTTCAGGTTCCACAACATGATGTGAAGCTAAACTCACCTCTTTTATTAATCTTACATGTAAAAGAAAGGCAGCGCCTTGAAAATTTCACTCCTTTAGACCAAAGAATAAATTCTTTCCTAAATATGTATTATATCATTTTGCCTTTGGGCTGCAATCCAAATATCTTCCAAGGTCAGTGAGATCTCAAAGGGAGCTGGGCCTTGCCTTCTCACCAACTTGTATTCCTGCCAATATCAGCTGGAGGTCCTGGGGAAAGTCAGGGTAGAATATGCACAAAGTGAGATATTGGAAAGTTGATAGGGGCAGGGGGTCCTGCTGACTTGGATATAAATCCAGGTTTAAGTGTCAGTTTGCATTCAGGAAATCAGAATATTTCTGTCTGTTTTCTGAATCACAGCACTGAGGGAAGGGGAAAGGTAAGATTGGGTGGGTTAACTGGGGAGTGTTTCCTGAAGTCCTGCAGGAGTGTGGGGGCTTGGGACACTGCTGGGGTTTGTGTTTGTAGTGTGGGGTTGTTTGTTTCCATAGCAAGGGGCCTGGGTGCCTCACTGTGCTTTTCATACCAGCTGCTCTTAGATGCAGCACACGGTGAGTTGAGGAATTGTTTTCTCAATCCCGCTAGTAATGGGCAAACAGGGACATGAGGTGTATTCATCTGTGGGGCAAATCACTCAAGTTTTATAACTCACATTAAGTTATTAAATCCAAGCAGTGCTGGGAGTATTCTGGAATTATAACCCTTCTACTCTAGTCTAGTCAGCAGAACAAATTCCCAAGCCACAGGAGGAAGAGGATTTGGAATAGAAATAATTTATATTATTCTATGAACACAAGTGCATCACAGGAGTTCCCAGTGCAGGTCACAAACCAGGCTACAGCCTGTCAGCACAGAGTGCTGTGACCTCCAGCAGACCTTTGCAACCCATTCTGATGGCTGCTCCTCTTTTCCTGGCATCTTTCAGATGTGGTACCCAGCTCCGGGAGCTGACTGCATCCCGTGGCTCTGGATGGGGTCAGGCTGGCAGGGGCCACTGCAGGATGTAGGGATGCTGTGTTGTGGGAGGACACTCAGTGATTTGGCTGCACCATGATCCTTCTTCCCCTTAAGGTTTTGATACTCAGTTGGGCAGCTTGGCCTGTTCTCCTCCCAGATGCTTTGTGGGTTCATCTGAACTGCAGTTCTCAGGAGGCAAGCTCACATTTCTGTGTGCATTCTGTGAAGCTGTAGCAAATAATCCAGCAGGCCTACAGGAATAACTTTATTTTCTCTTCCCAAACAAGTAGTTACTCTCAGCCCATGTACAACAAACAAGCCAGCATCAACTCTATGCAGAAGACAACAGACCAAGAAATTCGAGGAACAAAGGAGGCCCTCATTCAGGACTTGGAAAAGAAACTCCGATGCAAAGACAGCCTCCTCCAGAACGGCAACCAGGTAAGGGACCAAGGAGCTCCCAGGGGTGCAGGCAGGCTGCAGAGACTGCTGCTGCTGCCCCAGGGGCTGGAGCCTCCAAAATGAGCTAAAAGCAGGAGGAAACGCAGGAGCAGCACTGCCCAAAGACCTTTACTCAGAACCTCAACAGACCCCACGAGAGGAAAAGCCATTTATGACCAAAATATTCTTTCAATATGAAAGAAAAAGGAACATGTTTAGAGCTGTGGCACAAATTTGAACTCTTTTCTCAGGGGTCCTGTTGAGCATCA